ATTTTGTAATCTGACTTCATAAAATGCTTATGTAATTTGCATCTGGATACACAAGGAGAAAGTTACAAATTACAAGCTCCATTCAGGCTTATTTGTGTTTAAGGTTTTTAAGATACTGCTGAGTGAGCATGCAGGTGCTCACTGTGGCATTTACATAGTGGGCACCGCGTGCATGGCATTGACATAGTGGGCACCGTGGGCACCGTGTGCATGGCATTGACATAGTCAGCACCGTGGGCACCGTGTGCATGGCATTTACATAGTGGGCACCGCGTGCATGGCATTTACATAGTGGGCACCGTGGGCACCGTGTGCATGGCATTTACATAGTGGGCACCGTGGGCACCGTGTGCATGGCATTTACATAGTGGGCACCGTGTGCATGGCTATTAAAGCCCCTGGCACACATCTGTAAAGCCCATTCTGGTGTCTTTCCCGGAGCGCTCATGCCGCCACTTCTGGCTTAAAAACTCGGATTGCGATATCTCGGAGCAGCACAGAAGATCCTAAGTTCAGAATCAAAGATGGCTGCGCCTTTTATCAACAGAAGGGAAAGTTGTAGTTTTATACTGTTTAAGCACTACTTCTCATTTGTGGTGAGGTGGGGGGGCATTAAATTAGGTCAGGACAGTTTGGGGAGCATGCGCTGATGCAGCATGTTGCCGCACTCACCACACGGCGATAATCTTCCACAGAATCTCTGCAAGGAGTGTTACATTATTAAAGACATCTGGCCTGGTCTCATTTTTAGCTGTAAAGGGACTGATGTGGCACAAGATGTGGTTTGCTGGGAACATCCCCTTCGCTCAGAAAGCTGTGCCACCCTCTTCGTCTCGTCTAATCAAAACATTTGATGTTGTCAAAAACTCAGTGATTGCGCAGCACAAGGTGCCTTCTGGTCTACAAAGCTGCTTTCATTCTGATCCTGTCTTTGATGAATCTGCTTCGCCGGTTTGTCTGATTACGAAGCCCAAAACGAACCACAGTGCTGCACAAGTGCAAGCATAAGCAGGATTATAACAAAACATCAACACCTGCTTCTGGGAAAAGACTCACATTTCACTCAGAACGTTCTTCTCACAGGGTTATGCAGGACTCATATTGAATAGTAAGTGCATGGCAGTGTGCAGTATTTGAGGTGGAGCACCAGACCAGCAGTAGTTACCAAACTTATAAATAAGCTTCCAATTAGAGATAAACAGATCAATTACTTCAGAATGTTCAGGCTTCCTGTTTCTGGAGATAAATGTTTATTAATATGGTGCAGGGAGAAGCCCGAGGAGTTTAAGGGGCATGAACGAGAAGGATCTGGGAGGTGTGGTGACAGCTGACAGCTGGCGACTTCATGGGTGCAGAAGGTTGAGCCTTCGCAGACCGCCCGTCGTCCCCGACAGGAAGCGCAAGACCGACCTTTTCTCGCTTTAAACACAGCCACAACTTACCTCTCATGTACAGTGACATATTTTTTTCTCTTTTGAAGAGCATTAGCAGTCACAAATGTTCTAATTGCACAGAGCGTTCAGGGCAAACAAGGTGTCAACCTGTGTGAAATGAGGCACATTTTTCCGATTGAGAGAAGACTGAGGATGAAAGGCAGCTGTTTGTGCAAGGTGATGGTTCATGTATAATTCTGCATTTTGAGGGCAGCAGTCATGTCCGACTCTTGAATGAATCTTTCTTTTGAACCAGTACTTTGTACAGAGTGGTCCCCAGAATGAGGTTAACTGGGGCAGGGGGAGGCTTATACTTTTTACGGGGGGCTGAAGAGGAGGGAGTCATGGCTGAGGATTAACACCTTGTTTCACTCATGGATGGGCTGCGGTCATGGGGGGGGGGGGTGCCTATCGGTGCCTGCTTGTTCACATAGTCACATTTGCACCCTGTATTCATCCGTAAAGTGATGGGCTGCAAAAAATAGACCTCAAAGGCTACCAGTGCAGGGCAACTGCAGGCAAACATCCAAATTTCTCATGGCATCCATGTTTGGGTTTTAAGAGCAGTTTGATTGGGGGGCGTCAAAGAGCCAGTGGAGAAATATCAGCAGAAATACCTCCAGCTGGATTCTGAAACATTACAGTTTTTTATACTAGTTTTAGTACTTCACTGCTTTTCTTGTGAAACATATGCCAGCTACTCAGCCACCAGATACCCTGTGCTACTGAAATGTTTTTAACATAAATTAATTGACAAAATTTATTTTCTGCTGCCCTGGGGAGGGGTGGGTGGGAGAGTGCAAGACACTGAGGGCTGGCTCTGAGTAACCAGTTTGTTCTTAGATGTGAAATGAGCTGGTGTATCTCTGTCGGTTTTATGTTTGTCCCAGTCTTGGTCTTGCCAGTAACTGGCCCCAGCATCCAGCTGTAACTTCACTGGATTGTGCTCCTTGGATGTCTGCAGTGATGTGTGTCCATTAAGTTCAGAGCACAATTCCAGCTAATTGTACCCCAGATATACTCTGTATGACTGCAAGTGCGTGTATTTACTTGGAAAATGATTCACAGACAAATAACTGGCATATAAACATAATTAAAACATGGGAAAAGGGAACCGTAACCATGGGCAACCGCTTGAGAGAGGTTTGGTATATTTGTCTTGGACTTGCATATTGATGCCATGCTTTGAGGTTTTGCTGTTTTAACCTTAGGTTTATCTAAATAATTTTTTAGGGTCCGTGCACAGATTGGAAAAAAATATGTCTCTCAGATTGTACAGAACATGCAATTTGGACCGCAGCTGTGGTTTATGCAGGACCCAGGGGAAATGTCGTAGGCCAGAGGTCGCCAGAAGGGGCTCACTGACCTTTGACCCTCTGCTCTCCAGGGCCTATTTAGTGGAGAACATGGTGCTCATGTAAGCGGTTTCCTCTTTGAAAAATTAGTCTGAACAGTCACTGAAAGTAAGTCTCTATAAAAAATAGCCTCTGGCAATAGCAGGAGGAATTCTTAGTGAAGGTGAGAGGCAACATAAGCGGTGAGCAATGCACTGACACAAACACTGGCTAAAAATGGACTTAATATTATTCTGATAGACTGAAGGCATCCGCCCATCTTCCATAACATGGGTCACAGTGAGCTGGAGCCAATTCAAGGCCATAGGGCACAAGCTAGGAGGACATCAGGGATGGGATGCCAATGCATCGCAGGGCACTCAGTCACACACACGCCGCGGGCACCTTGCAAAGCCAGGCTGTAATGTTCAACTATACTGTGGTATTCAGAGAAATGCAATGCAACGGATGTGAAAGTAGGACAGAAAACATTTTAACCCTAACATTTTTCAATGCTGTCTTGTATATTTACAGCGGAAAATACATGATAGTATATCATTCAGAGAAGTTATTTGTAGTTATACGTTGCAATTTACTGTTGAAGTTGGTATTTGTTTAACACCTATTTACATTTTTAGGGTCATAGTGAATGAGATTCCGAGTGATGAAATCAAACTGCCGTCTATTAAAGTTTATTACTAGAAGGAAGAAATTTAGAAGGAGAAACAGTATCAGTAGCAGAAGAGCCAAAGTAATTAGGTCGTAAATTGTAATGGCGCAGAGCAAGTATCTTTGTAATTAGGATAATTATTCCTGTGGGCCAATTAAGATGAACGGCTCGGTTAGGTGTGTAAATGTCACTTTAATGATTTGATCCAGCTAGAGGCATTTAAATGGCACGGGAATAATCTCTTGATGAGTCTCTTCTAGAAGCTCCTGGGTGTCTCCCTGTGTAACCTAAGCCATGTTTCACTTCTGTACAGGGCATCTTCAGGAGTCCCTCGAGGTCCCCACAATATCTCCGCACAGCTAGTCAGACTGCTGGTCACTGCAGTCACATGCTTCCCACAATCTCTCTGCACAGCCAGTCAGACTGCTGGTCACTGCAGTCACATGTCCCCATCCATCATCTGATTGGCAAGTATGCAAACTGTGGAATTTTTATTTACAGTATTCTTTCAAATACTGTTTAGAAATGGCTTCTTCATATGACATGGACCCCCCCGATTTCCGTCACCTGCTCAAAAGCAGACATGACAAGTGCTGGGCAGTCAGGCCTATTTTGGTGGTTAATCATTAACATCCAGGCCTTTGAGGACTAGTGAGGGAAACATGTAAGCGGAGAAGCAAATTTATCGCAGCGAGCCATTTGAATTTCTGCAGTGTGTTATTAACGGACCAGCCGGTTTCTGTGGTGAATCATGTGCATTTGGGTAACCAGGTGCTGATAATTGCACTCAGACATACCCAGGGAAATGGCAGAGCATCTGTGAGCATCTACTGTTTGTCTTTGTGAATATCCTCACAGTGGACTTTTCAATGACTCTTCTGATTAGACTCTGTCCAGCTCTCTGTTCTCAGGGCTGCCAACTTTGGCCAGCTGGCTGGAGTGAGATTTTCTGTTCGAGACAAGTCTGCACACACGTGCACATGCATTTATATGTATGTAACAGTTTTTCGACCATGTAAATAGTCTGTAGGGTTTGCAAACTATTCCATCACTTTTGATATAACTAATTTAGGTTTCTTGCGTGAGCGTGCGAGTCTGAAAGCATGAGTGTCACACCAGATGTGTGAGAGATGTCAGCCCTGGGTTTCTCTTTCTGACTCCAGCAGAGAAGATCTTTCATTTCTCCATTGTAGCTGCAGCCTCCCAATCAACACCTGGCTGGGATGCACCATAGTTGGAATGTGGCTTTTTGGCCTAAATGTTGCCAGTTGTCTAACTGGAATCCAGAGGTGTTAGTTTGCCTTAAGCTTAACTGTAACTTAAGCACCCTAAGTGTAGTTTAAACCTGGTCTTTTGTTCAGTGGAGTGTCTAGTGTAAGCCACTCATACTCAGATGAGTCTCTCGTTGGGTTTGCCTTTCAGACTCTGCCCTGCCTGTTTGTTTGGCACCCACCCCCCCCCCCCCCCCCCATCACCGCCCCAGAATGTAAATATTTGAGAAATATTTAGTTGCATGCAAATAAATGCCATAAAAACAAGGGAAACACCACTGTCAGCATGACATGCATGACGTACAATATTTATTAACCAACACTTACCAGAATCACCATTGAACAGCTGACTTTGTACATCATCACCAGATAAACGAAACACAATAACAATCAAATGACATCTTGTGCGTAAGTAAATAATTAACAACGTAAACATCGAACTGGAGGGTCAGGGAGACCCTCCTCCATGCTGTGCAGGTAGGCGGCTGTCGAACCCTCGCCCTTTGCCCCCGGCTGGGCACTCCTATGTCACTTCCTGTTTGGCTGGGCCCCCTGGGGCATGCAGGTGCCGCCCACCCTCCTGAACCTGCCGGGCTGCTGTCGACGTGGCTGCATCCCCATTAGGCACAACCACTCGAACCAATGTCCCCGGCACTGATGTGCCTGTTAATGATTGATTAGAGAGACCATGTGTGTCAGTACACTGACCTTCACGCTCGGAAGGCGACGGGTGAGGATGAAGGAGACCTGGCTGGCCCCAGTGGCTGCTGGGTGGGGGAGGGGGGGGGGCTTCCTGGAACACCACAAGACAGCCATGGGCATCCCCAAATCAAGAGGAGCCGTATCTACACCAGCCAAGCCCCCTCGGGGGGGAAGGCAGCGTTTGAGGCAGAAGAAGTGCCACATCTTGCAGAATGTCTCAGAGTTCACGTCACATTAAGCCGCAGAAGGTGACACTACCAGCAGATGGCAGCGTCAACAGACGCTTCAGGCCACTTTATTTATTTTTGTCCACTTGTCCAAATTTTGTCCAAAGTGCTTCATAAGACAAGGAGAAGATCATGCCACACAAACACGGGAGCCAGGAGCCACTGCACTTCACTGAAGCATTCATTTAGTAAATAGTTAACCTATAAATAAGTTGCATGCAGTAGACATTTCTGTAACAGCTGAGCAAAGCGTTTTTGTTGGTTAAACATTCCCTTTTTTTTGCTGTTCACCACAGTGTGATGAACCTTGGAACAATACGAGTGACAACGAAACAGATATCCGTATCTGACAGAAAGAGCTAGACGTTCAGCATAACCAGGAACGTAATGCAAAGTCACAGAATAAATAAGTTCACAGACTTACACTTTATGTGGACATAAGCACAGAGGGACCATCGAAGACACAGTGACATACATACGTACATACATATATATATATATATTTCTTTTTGAAAGGTAATGGTTCACAGTTTTAACGCGGCACATTGGACTTCGCATGCAGAGATAAACACATCACTGACCCAGATTTCATAAAGCAGAGTCCACTGACCTGGGATGGCCCCTTTCAGCCTGAGCTGGACGTGAGGCGTCCACTGTGTGCCCTAACTGCAATTGTGCAGCATAGTGCCCTAAACACAGACACTGTTACTGCAGCTCTGGCAGTGAGTCCTGCACTGGAACCGCAGCTCTGCAGCCACGACCAGCTGCTTGGAGACCTCGGCAGGAAGGGCCATAAAGGGGGACAACGGGGACAGCCTTGCCACTATCATGTGCCGAGTGCTCGGCTAGTCCGATTTTGTGCAGTGGTGTTTAAGCACGGCTGCCAGTGACACGCGCAGGGCGCTGCAGGGAACGTGCAGCTCGCTGCTGTCGCATTGCTGGCAGCGGCGCACACTCCCGTCCACACCTGTCACTTCCCCTCAAAGTGTACAGTTACTTCTTTTCAGGGAAGCTCACAGACGGCCCCTGTGCTCGGTGAAACCTGCCTTCACACGGAACGCTTCACAAATGGATGCCGGGAAGCGGAGTTCGACCGCATTGCTCCTTGAATCCTCCCTCGGTTCATCCCATTTCACATCCCATTTCACATCCTGTTTCACATCCCATTCTCAGAAGTAGCTAGTCCTCCTGCACAGCTCGCATAAATTACTGTGTAATTAAACAAGCGACCTCGGGTAACAACCGTATGACGTTGATATTCATTTTTTTGGCTGACAGAAAACAAGACCTGTTTGCTGCCTTCCAAGTGGACAATTTTTACATTATGGGTCTTATAAAAATAAAATATAATGAGGTAGATGAACAGAGTAGAAAACTGCTGTTTCCCAAACTCATCGGGATCGACATCACTAGGCTAGCTTGGGTACAGTATGTAAGTCAAGTTAATGGTCTAAATGCAATGAAGCCTGTTTCCCAGCCCTGCCTCCTTACCAGAAGGAGAAGGCAGACTCCCATAGCCAACAGGCAAAGTGAGGGCTCTCTCCGCGAGGGGCTCACATGCTGCTGACCGTGGCTTTGCTGCAGTTCCCATTCGAGTCTTTTGCATCTGCAGAATCAGAGCCCGTCTCCAGCATGTTCTCAGACACGTCGTATTCCTCCAAGTTACCCTTGTTTCTCAGCTGTGCTTTCACTTGCCAGCTGTGCCCACTGTAAAAGTATCCGTTAGGGGGTCCCAGTTTGTGGAAAGGAGGCCTCCGCAAGCAAAGGATCTCCTGGAAGGCATAGCGGAACTCTGGGCTCCTGCAGTAAATCAGGGGATTGAACACTGAGTTAGCATATCCTATCCAGTTCAAGATCTTGTAGGTCAGATCAATGTTGTCAAACTTCTTAAGGGCCACCACTATATTGAGAATGAAGAAGGGCAGCCAGCAGAGGGTGAAGATGCCCATGATGATGCCCAGGGTCTTCAATGCCTTGTGCTCCTTCAGGCAGAACCTAGGTTTCTTCCAGTTCCTCGCTTCACCATTGTGGTTCTCCAGAGCCAAGTTGTTGTTCTGGGCATGAAAGCGTCCCTCACACCTGTCTATTTTCTTCAGCTGCTTCTTGGCCTCCTGGAAGACGCGGCTGTAGACAAACACCATGACCACTAGGGGGATGTAGAAGGAGATGATGGAGGACGTGATGGCGTAGGCTGGATTGGTGTAGAATTCGCAGCAGGTGGGCTTCTCGAAGCAAGCTTTAGCCTCTATGTCATCGGAGACGTACCATTCCTTGAGGATGGGCAAGAAGGAAATAAGCCCAGCCACAGCCCACACCAGCAGCACTATAAAGCGGGCCTTGCATTTGGTGAGCAGGGATTGGTACCGCAAGGGCGTTGTGATGGCCAGGTAGCGGTCCAGGGCGATCACACACAGTGTCTCAATGCTCGCCGTGACGCACAGCACGTCAACGGCTGTCCAGAATTGGCACCAGAAGTTTCCGAAGTGCCAGGTGTTGAAGATGATGTAACAGGCCCCGAAGGGCACCACCACTAGTCCCATCAGCAGGTCGGCACAGGCCAGGGAGGTAATGAAGCAGTTGGTGACCGTCTGCAGCCTCTGGAAGCGGGCAACGGCGGTGATGACCAACACGTTCCCGAAAACGATGCCCAGGACCAGCAGAGACATCACCACGCCCAGCAACACCATCTCCACCTCCAACGCGCCAGGGTCCGAGGAGGAGCTGTTAGCCCCAGCTGATAGTCCCAGTGCCTCTGTGCTTCCCATGGCGAGACTGGCATAGGAAGTCAGAAAACAGGAAGCTGTCGGGGTCGGTCAAAAGCGGCAGGAACTAAGTAAACTTACATATACATGTCAAAGTAAAGAAAAGGCGGGACAAATAAGAAGAAAACCTTGAAGAAAACCTCAGGCGGCTCTTCTTAGTGTCGTCTTCTCACCCATAAAGTTAAATATGGCTTTGGTTCAGTAATTTAGCCTATCTACCTCACTTATCCGTGTCTCCGTTAGTCTCCGCTCTCTCTCTCTCTCTCTCTCCCTCTCTCTCTCTCTCACTCCCTCTCCCTCACTGTTGCGCTGCACTCTACTTTGAAACACATGAAGCTCACTAGCATAGGATGTCGCTCCCAGAGCTCTTATAGCACGCACTGATGACCTCATAGCCTGGCAGCAGCCAATGAGCAGCCTGGCTGGCCGAGACGGCTGCAGGCTGGCCGGCTTTTCAAAGTGCCGAGTCGATGGCTTTTCTGTTTGACCGAGGAAGCCGCTTCTTACCACAGCGGAGAGCTAGCGAGCTGCAGGCTTCCCCAGAACATTCACACCACTTAAGGCAAGCATTTCCACTTTTATTACGCTTCAGATGCGACTTGATGATGGAACTATTTTCATGGATTATTTTAAATGATCATCACCAAAAAACTGTGCTGAAATTTGATACAGACAAAGACAAAAGAGTAATAAAACATCATAGGTTTTTTAATCTCAGTTTTTCTTGGTATAGGTCAGATCAAATAATATTGTTATTAGATAAGAGGATTGCAGATCAAATAAAGTGTTTCATAGGAACCAAATAATAAGGATTTTAAGTCTTACTACCATTCTTCACACACAGTCCTGAAGTAGAATATCAATGTCTGTCCATTTTCTAAAGGGATACTTGTGTTTAATTAGAATAATCACATCAGCAGCAGACAGGGATCTGTCATGCCTTTGCTAGGGGTTTGTGTTGACTTGGGGGGGGGGGCTGGAGCAGCATCAGTCTGGCATACCTTCCCTGAGAAGCCTTCACAATGTCAAGCGCATTCACAGCAGTCAGCTGCTTTGAGGATCTGAGACTAAACAGAACAAAATGTTACAAGCTTCAAACATCTCGCACGTAAGCATGTAACAGTGTGAGGCGCCAGCACATCGTTCCCTGGTGAAACTGAGGAATTCAAACGCCAAATTAAATATACTACCGTAGTAATATGACGTATAGTACACTATTCGTTGTACCCCAAATTGATTGATGGTACATGCCACAAAAATGTTGAACACACAATATAGCCATAAATATAACGACACTGGCATGTTAATTTTTAAACAAGTTTAACTGGTGTAATATTATATGTGAGTGCATGTGTATTATGTTTAAATTACATTGTGGGGACCAAAAACCAGGTCTTCACATCCAACATCAGTGCCTAACCTCACAGATCCTCTTCTGGATGAATGGGCAAAAATTCCCATAAACTCACTCCAAAATCTTGTGGAACACCTTCCCTGAAGAGTGGCAGCTGTTCTAGAGTCATGGCCAAAAATATTGCCCCCCCCCCCCCTGCATTTATGTCAGAAAACGCACCACTTCTCTCAGAATAATCAGAAATTCTGGTAAGGTGGCAATAATTTTGTCCAGGCCATTTTTGACATTTTGTGTGGAATGTCTCAGATTTGTTTTGGCTGGTTTGTTTTTTCTTCTGCTTTTTAGTGTGCTTCCAGTACCAACAAGAGAAATAAATATGGCAATATCAAAGCATTTGTAATTGCAACAATTTTCTGGGAGAAATGGTGCGTTATCTGACATACAGTAAATGCAGGGGTGCCAATATTTTTGGCCATGATGTAGCTGCAATGGGGGGACCAACTCCATATTGATATCTATGGATTTAGAATGGGATGTCATACAAATTCCTGTGGCTATAATGGCTAAGCGTCCCAATACATTTGTCCATATAGTGTACCTTGAAAGATGTGCGTACTAACTGTAAGGACAGTGAATTAGGAAAGATCATCCACTAGCAGTTCACACACACTTTATTCAAGCTGAACGCAAACAAAAAGAGACCATGAGGGATCTATATACAGGGAGGGCGGCTGTTTGCTAACCTAACGTAACCTAACCTAAACCTAAACCTAAACCTAACCTAAGCTAAGCTAAACCAAATAGGAGGACACACAGAGGAAACACACAATCTCAAACAGGGCAACAGTGCAGCAAACACAAGCCAACAGAGGAGGGCAAGGGCTCACACATGTATACAGGTAATGGGGGCCAGACGGGAAGCAGCTGGGGGTAGTTTACACAAGTGGCTCACGCTAAAAGATACTGGGAACTTAGACAAAACAGAATGAATTACAAAACTAGAAACAAGAGGGGATAACTGAGAACAAAGGAACAAACACAAGAAGCAATAGAGAAATAGATAAACACAAGCACATAATGAACCTCGGGCATCTCAATATAGATTGATAAAATTTGACATGGTTAGGGTGCAGGGAAAACATAGGGCCTGACAAGGAAACTAGAGGCAGGGAAACAGAAAACAAATGGGATGGTCGGCGACACGTGCTGGACGAATGGCAGAAGGGCTGGCCCTGATGCTTACCGAGATCTCAGATTTTAATTTTCAGAAATAACACCGGAATACAAAGTTGAAACGACATACAGGAATTCTTATTGTTGCTAAAATGACCAATCAGACAAGGAGAAGGTGAAACAAGTGGCATGAAATCGAGGTGCCCACGTGACGACTAGGGACCAGCTAAGTCTGCGTTTCCAAAAGTCTCCAATGTCACTCATCCACACTGCAGCAAACTGAATTTTCAGAAGAACATGGCTGCGAGAGCATTTACAAAAGCCTCCAGTTTTGGGGCTGGGGTAGTGTGCAGGAAAAGTGAAAATGGAGGCTAATGCCTGCACTTTAAAATGAAAACACACCAGTGTGGAGGTTAGGGTCATACGAGCAGCGGGATCAGTGGTGGAGCTAAAACCCCCCCCCCCCCCTCCATACAGCCCTCACTTCCATGCCAGCTCCACGTCTAAGTGAGACCTAATGTCATTCCGGTAGCTGGTATTTGTTGAGCTCATTTTAAAATACCTACCTTCAGGAAAAATCTAACTAATTATTCACTTATTCCCCTTCTACAGCTAGCTGCTACAATGACCATGAGTTTACCTGCATGCATAAAGAGGATGAGAAGGAACGGGAGGTGTGCTGAGTATGGTGACAGAGCTGTGGGTGACTTTACTTTCTGATTCGTTGAGCATCTCGATGGCATCAGCTGGAAGGAAACACCAGGGCTAGAGAGCCTGAAAAATAAACTCGCTTGACATTATTATTTATGAAATTGAAAAATCAGATTTATTAACCAAAGGTGCTGGAACGTTGTTCTAGATCGTTCCACCCCAATGTGTGTGAGTGTGTGTGTGTGTGTGTATATATACACAGAGGGAGAGAGAGAGAGAATAGTCAAAGTAATATAATGTGTGTATATTTCCACACAGAGAATGGGGTCAGGGGTGAGGCTGCAGTGGCACTGCGACCAGAGCGTATGAAATGTTCATGGCCAAAGATCTTGGCTCTCAACCAGCGGTCCAGCGTGTGTTGGGTAAGTCTATAAGTATAGCAGCATTTGTACTCTAACCCCTGGTGCATGTGACAGGACACTGAAGAAGACCCCCCTCCCCCACACATAAATACCATTCCTCAAGGCGGACGCTCTTGGGATTAATCTTCCAGCATAATTATAAAGCTAACAGAGCAGGCATCTAACCAAGACTATGAAAAATTAATGACCATCTATTCAAAGAACATGCATTTTAATAGTAGAAATTGATTTATAACTATAAAAGCTATTAGTTAGAAGTGTCAGCGGCATTCTAAGTCATGAAGGCAATCTGGACACCTTCCCTGTTCCATTTTGCGTAATAGAAATGGCTTTTGGCCCATGCCGCATGCCAGGCATGTGTTGCTAGTATTTCCTTACCATTGGGGGTGTGGATCTCACAGACCTGTAAAATGCACATGAGTGAACCTCCAACATCTATATTAAATCATTTCTCAGCCATTCGGTTCATGGTTCTACTCAAAACACTCCTTGCCTTGGGGTTAAGTAATCCACTCAATGTCAAGGACCCCACTGGGCCTCCAGCCAGCCAGCTTCAGAACTGAGTTCCCTAAACACTAGGCCCCCTAGTGGCCCCTGGGTGAAGGCAGCTCGGTTTATTTGCTGAATGGTCTGTGAAAGACTTGCTGGGCTTTGGAAGAGGTCAAAGGCTGATTTTTGGTGGCCAGTGAACTGGTTACAACCCGATAAAGGCACATGACAGACTGCACATTGAAGGACTACAGAATTGAATCTGGCCGGCCCCTTGGAGGCAAGAATATATCACTGCAGCTGGGAGCCGAGTGTCGAGTAGGAGGGGCAATGACCGGTTGGAGGGGCAATGTCAAGTAGAAGGGGCAACGTCAAGTAGAAGGGGTTTATCATGAGGGGTAGGAGGTGATTATTAGGGTTATTATTGCCCCTCGGACTCGACATTGCCCTTCCTACTCAACATCGCCCCTCCTACTTGAGACTGCCCCTCCTATTCGACATTGCTCCTACTATTCAACATTGCCCCTCCCACTCGACATTTGTCTCCTGGCTGCTAGTATATGCCTCTCCTTGGAGGGGGGGCGATCTTAGGGAGGTGCTGACCCTTTTTCCTCCTCTGGCTCCCCCCACAGGTGTCCGTGTGACCGTGCTCTTGGTGTTTACATACTAGTGCACTCTGATTCAATAGCTCAGCCTCCTCTTACCGCCTGCCATTTTTGTCACTGCCAAAGAAGGCATTTTATGTTGAATTTAAAAATTGGCAGCAAAACCCATCCTTTTAGCTTAAATCTAACAAATGTGTGCCAGCAGTTACGTAAAGTCTTTTTGCAGTGTTTAAGCCACACAAATAACACACTTATTTTTTTATGGGTTGTTCATCTCAAAACTGGCTCATATTCTTACATCTCCTTTACGAGTGTTACTTAGGCAGGTGGCCACCTCACAGCACTCAGCTAGCTTGGGGGCTTTACAGGTGGGGGTGGGGGAGGCTTGGCCTCATGCCATCTCGTGAGCGAGAGTCAGGTGACTGGGTTTAGCCACTTTGTTCCACCTGTCCCTTTGTCCCTCATCTCACAATGTGAATCAGCCAGTTTGTTTCCCCCAGTGACCTCAGCGCCAGTCCGACGTGCAGCCGGAGCTTTCTACCTTCAGCCATAGCAACTTTGTTCGCATTTTTTCATCTGTAAAATGGGTAAATGTTTTTTTACATTTAAATGATTACATTTTGTTAAATCTCATTCCCTGAGTGAGCAACCATATTCTGCCTAATCCCTGGGTGTGCTCTCGTGTACCTGTTTGACCCCAGCTTCCATTGCTGAAGGACAGTTCCTGTACTTAAGAACAGAGGACTGTAAAAATTTCCAGGTGTCGTTCTTCCCCAGCTCGGAATATCAAGGATACATCTGT